AGTGGTGCTGTGGCTCAAGTGGTAGAGCGCTAGCCTTGAGCTGAAGAGCTGAGGGACAGTGCCCAGACCCAGAGTTCAGGCCCCACGACTGGACCCCCCCCCAAAAAAAAGAATTTACAACTAGTTTTTCCAGTTTTGTTTTTTCATCATTAGTGTCCTTTGCTTCAAACTTTCTTTGGTCATGGGGCTTGAACTCTGAGCCTGAGTGCTGTCCCTCAGCTCTTCAGCTCAAGGCAAGTGTTCTACCACTTCAGCACAGTGCCACTTCTGGTTTTTTGGTAGTTAATTGGAGATGACTATCACAGATTTTCCTGATCTGACAGTCCTCAGATTTCAACCTCCCGAGTAGCTATGATTACAGATTACAGGTGTGAGCCACCAGCACCCAGCTTGCTTCAATTATCTTGTGTTCGTGTTTTTTTTGTCAGTCGTGGGGCTTAAACTCTTGGCCTGTGAGTTGTCCCTCAGCTCTTCAACTCAAGGCGAGCGCTCTACCACTTGAGCTACAGCGCCACTTCCGTTGTGTTCGTGTTTTGAAGTCCACTATCCTTCAGTGTTTTTTAATGTGGTCACGTTAAACCTAAAGCATGTTCCCCTTTTCCAAACTTACTGCCTTGCTATAAACAGTAGTGACATTCCTAGCCTGCCTAATGCTACAGATCCTCTTGCAGCTTGGGGAAGACAAACACATGTGACTTGCTATGCTTACCGGAACATTAAGGTTTACCAAAAACTCAGTTTCAAAGTGTCAAAGGCCAATTACAGAACTGGTAGCTTTTGGCAAGGACAAAAACTTAATATTGTTTAAATGTCTGATTTCCAATGTTATTCTAAATAAATCGGTTTATGGTAACTACATTAAATTAACCATAAGGTCAACTAAAGACAGAATTGTGAGATTTTTGGCACTGTAACTGGGCTTTTCGACACTGCTTTCTCCCAATCTGTATACCAACTGGTTACTTCTGAATATTTCCATTAATAAAATATGACACTTAGATCTCAAGTGTGTGGAATTACACCTCAGAGTTTGGTGAGTAACATACAAGTATTTATACACAATAAAGACGAAGCCCTGCTGGGGATGGGTGGCTCATACCTAGCTAATCAGGAGGTTGATCTGAGAATCATGGTTTAAAGGCAGCCCAGGCACAATTCTGTCAAATCCGTATCTCCAATTAACCACCAAAAGACCAGAAGTAGCATTGTGGTTCAAGTAGTACAGCACTAGCCTTGAGCTGAAGAGCTCAGACAGTGCCCAGGCAGAGTTCAAGCCCTAGACCAGGAGAAAAAAAAAAAGCCTTTCCCTTGGAAACTGCCTCTCCCAGTTAGTAAAGAAAAATCACACCCTAGCTCCCAAAGTTACCACTAAATACCTTACCTAGTCAGATAAATCTTACTCCCCCATCAACTGCCAAATTGCTATACCAGTTTGGCCGGGGCTGGTGGCTCACACCTGTAAATCTAGCTACTCAGGAGGCTGAGATCTAAGGATCACAGTTCAACTTACAAGAGCCTTTCAAAGGGAAAAAGCTTTAAGGTACTCAGGGGCTCTAGGACTGACATTGAGTGGGTCAAGCCCTGCTCGTGAGCTTTCTAAAAGTTGTATGATTTATACTACCTGTAATACCAGCACTTGGGAGCCTGTGACTGAACACAGTATTTGGGAGCATAGGTGATATACCCACACACATTCCCAAGTACTCAATTTGTAAGAGTGTTGATCCTAGCTAGAATCCTCATCTCTAGCCCCACATGCACAAAAAGTAGTAGGGAGGGCCCATTTCTACACAACCAAAACTCTGTACATGCATTACTATCTGTACTGCTACTTTCCCTCATTTCTTTATGCATTTTATTTTTGAACATGTCTCAAACTTTCAAAGTAATGAATATACATTAGGCTTTTCCCAATGGACTGTGGTATGGAAAAGAAATTAAGCACCAGGGTTGGGTACAATGGTTCACACCTGTGACCCTAGCTACCATGGAGGCTGAGATCTGAGGATGGCACTCAAAGCCAGTTGGGGCAGGAAAAATAATCTGTAACTCTTCAACAAGCAAAAATTCCCTAAATGGAAGCTCAAGTAGTGGAACACTACTTGTTGGGTGGAAAAAAGGGACAGCGCCCAGGCCCCTATAATAGCACAAACAAAAACCCCACAGCACAAGGCAGTTAACTCATACTATCTCCAAATATCAGCTGGGTGTTGGCTTGTCTATAAACCTAGCTACTTGGCAAACCGGAAGGAATAAAGACAAGGCCATCCCAGATGAGATCCCATTCCAACAGAAAGGAACCTGGGCAGAGTGGTGGGCCTGGAATCCCAGCTTTCTAAAGGGTAGAGGCAGGTGACTGACTTGAAACCTACACTTCAGCACAGCTCAAGTGGTAGAGCACTCGCCCTGACCTTAGTTCAAATTCAAGTGCAGCCAACAAATTTGTCTAAGAAACTAGAATGCTGAAGTTTCCATTCAGCACAATACTTCAGGAATTTGAGGTCTATTATATGAAATTTAAAGTTGGGAGTTCTTTAAAAAAAAATTCAGATCTAGAGACTAGAATGATAGACTGTAACACAAAGTATACCAGGCATAATGAACACAAATGAACTGTACTTTACAATTCTTGTTTTGTTTTTGGGTCCGGTTGTGGGACCTGAACTCTGGGCCTGGGCGCTGTCCCTCAGCTTTTCAGCTCAAGGCTACCACTCTACCACTTGAGCCACAGTGCCACTTCTGGCTTTCTTATTGCTTATGTGGTGTTGGGGAATCGAACCCAGGGCCTCATGCATGCAAGGCAAGTGCTCTACCACTGAGCCACCTTCCCAGCCCCTGTACTTTACAATTCTTACTGTTCCACTTCTCAACTTTTTGTTGGTTTTGGGACTTGAACTCTGGGTCTGGGTGCTTGAT